CGCTACTAGGAACAAGGGACGCTACTAGGGGCTCCTGGCCGTACTACTAGGAACAAGAAGCTACTAGGAGCAAAGGGCATCGCTACTAGGAACAAGGGACGCTACTAGGGGCTCCTGGCCGTACTACTAGGAACAAGAAGCTACTAGGAGCAAAGGGCATCGCTACTAGGAACAAGGGACGCTACTAGGAACAATGTGTCACACTACGTATCCATGTGTTTAACCATTGTTGGTCAAGGTGAACACACTTTGAATTAAACTATCAAGAGAAGGTTCAGTCATGAATTACGAATTTATTGGTCAAGCTGAATGGTATCCAAGTCGAGTTTACTCCGCATGCATTTGCGGACTCATTGGTACAGGTTGTGGCGCTGGGAAAAGGTCAAAGTTTCTGCAATCGATGGCATAAACTGTGAGCAATTAAGTTTATCCCTGGAACACGAACGTTTAATGGATAAGGTTTTCCTGGCAAGGCGGCATAGTCTTCAAGTACTTGAATGGCTTTTGGATGCTTTTGGTGACTGCCGGAGTGTTGGTCGTGCAGCAATTCCGCCAATCAAACTTCTATGAAATCTGAGTCTTACCATGGTTGAGGCTCCTGTTTTTATATACCGCGGGTAGAGTTGTTTCTTACGAAGGTTAGTGGCCTGATGCCAAGAGGCTTCGAACCTCTGATGAAAGAAAAACATCGAACGGATGTGCTGGTTGTTTTGCCTTAGTCTTAATCCAAATAGGAAGGCATCGGCCAAACAGGGTGAAGTGCACTGCAAGTTCATACCAGGTAATTCTGTGTCCTTTTTGGACTGCGGAAGGTCCGGATGCCGCCACTTGAGTTGTTCAAAGGAGGCCCAAACACAACACGCAATCTGTGCACCTGCAGGGTATGCACATGAGACAATTTTATGGGGATCACCTGAGAAGGACCAATAGGGACCACTACACTGCCATCCACTCAAGAAAGTAGGAGCCAAAAAAGACTCACAATAGATCAGAAGCAAGCCAAAAGGATTTCAACCGGAACGCATCGAATTCAAGCAAGATCGAAGAAGAAAAAACAAAAACAAAGAAGGCATGAAGAGGAATCCCACCAAGACATAAAGCATGAAGAACCCATAAGGATCCAAAAAACATCAACACCGACAGAAAGGGAATCAAAAGGAGTCAAAGCAAGCAAGCTTGAAAACGCGACAATTTTGAGGTTGGTGTATGAAAAATATTCCAAGGAACTTATATAGTAAAGTTGTTTTTTGCCAAACAGGGAGGGGCCAACAATGAGCCAACATGGGATGAGTGGTGGATTGGTCAAATAAGCCTTTGTGGAACAAAACACTCAAGGTGGTGAACAAAGACAAACACATGCAGGAAACAACTGTGCCAAACTTGAATGGAATGGTTTTAAGGGGGTTTGCACTATAAAGATTCACCAAATTATAGGGATTTGCAAAAGGATTGGAAAGGCAAAGTCCCGACTGGTTTGTCCACCAAATGAGGTAAGCTGAACGCTTTGGGATCCACAACTTTGATTTCAGAGTAAACTTGTTTTGCAATGCTTCCTGGTTCCTCACACACATGCATCCTCTTTGATCCAGTTTCATTCATCAAACCAAGTGGCTGAGCTAGCCCAACATCTGCTGCACCAAAGACAGTTGCCAAGCTCGATGCTATGCATAGAGCTGAGCCATATCAGCACAAGGCCTTGACACGAACAAGTTTGAATGCAATCCACATGAAGATAGTTTGACTGCGAGAAACCTCCTTGTCATTATTAAAGCACTCCCTCCCTCTCGCTCTCTCTCTCTCTCTCGTCTGCTTCCAGATCTTCCGGCCTTTGGCCAAAATTTGAAGCAAGCGCAGGCAGTCCACTTCAGGAATATGAAGTCACTGAAGTAACGACCCAATGTTCCCTCTCCCCCCTCCACGGTTACTCTGCACCTGTCCCATGTCTTGCAGGTTCTCCAGGAAGGACAGCGTGTCTTGGGCTTTGCACACCTATGCACTCGTGCTTTGCAAAATGGCACCGTGGGGCAAGTTTTCACACGGGCTGGTCCCAAAGCGAATCAATTTGCGTTTATGGCACGATGAATGAGCCCTGTTAGGTTCCCCACATGATACCCGCCGTCCGACGGACATAAGATTTCAGAAGAGAAACCGCTCCCGGACACCGATGTCTCAAGACCCCGAATTAGCTTCTTGTTACTACTAGTGAGGCACTTGTTACTACAAGCGATGCACTTGTTACTACCCCGAATGTTCTCTCAAGATTTGGGCGTCTGATATTTGTAGTCGGTGTCATTTCGAATCCTCGCGTGTGATGTACTTTTCAATTCGCTCGCAGCTTTGCTATGATACAGTCTGAATTGTTTGGTTCAGGCGATGCACTGCAATGGGAAGGCTCTTGGTCCCAAGAACTTGTCCCTCCCATCCGGAACGAGTAAAGCTTGGAGCTTAAGGGAGGCATACAAAGCCACTGTCGGATTAAAGAAGGGAAATCCCTTTGCACGACTTCTTGTTACTAGTAGTAGGAATGCTCCTAGTAGCGATGCCAGGAGCCCCTGGTAGCGTCCTTGCTCCTAGTAGGTCCTAGTAGCAAGGCCAAAAGCCCCTAATCGCGTCCTTGTTCCTAGTAGTAAGGCCAGGAGCCCCTAGTAGCGTCCTTGTTCCTAGGCCAGGAGCCCCTAGTAGCGCCCTTGTTCCTAAGCAAAGCTTCGGCTGTCAGGGCCCAAGGCTTCAAGAAGCCGTGCCTCCTCATGACCCGACGCTACAAACACCGTGCCAGCTGAGAGCATTCTCCAAAGCATTTGCAGAAGCTGAGTCAAAGTTCATCTTGTCAGCGCGGGGCCATGAACACAGCACCAAAGGGACCAAACTTCCCTACTTGCCAAAGCACCAAACAAAAGAATCTTCTTACTAGGAACAAGTGCATCGCTACAGTAACAAGAAGCTACTAGGAAGCCAAACTTAGGCAGAATAAAAAACACATTGTAGTTTGTCTGTTTTGTCTGTTTTGATCGAAGGGGGTGAGACTTGCTTCTCAGGTTTCCGCTCGGTCTCGGTTCCCAAACACGGCATGTCCGCTCTAGTGACTGCCAGTGCTGAGGCCATTTTGGCTACATACCCAGGGAGCCGTGTCGTGGAATGTTTCATTTTCGTGCATGCATTATCATGCATTTTCTTAATCCACCGTGTACTGTTGGGTGCTATAATGACGTATTTTATTAACATTCCAAGGCCGGCTGTTTGACTATGGGCTATGCTTCGGGGTATGCTTCGCGCAGTGCGAAGATTAAAGTAGTAGACTTTTCAGAGGGTATGCTTTGGGGTGTGGGGTATGCTTTGTCTAAGTCGAACATCCCAACTCTACATAAACTGGACACGTTTAAACATTACAAACCTCATACGCATTGAGCATCCTTGAGCCAAGGCGGCTCGAAGGAGCTGCAGCAAATCTAACACCTTCAATCGTGCCACCTTGACGCGCGATGCCACCTTGCAGCCTTGCGACCGTCAGTTCACATGCATAACCGCATCGCATTTCCAAAATAGATTGGAAGCTCGCTCGTGGCACTAATTGAGTCTCCAGCACGAAGACAGTGAACACATTGTGATAACAGCTGGAGGTTCAAGGTTCAAACGTTGCAATGTCTAGGAGTCTTGCAAGCTGAAGAGCTTGGCGCATCGCAGCTGAAAAGCCACAGAGTCAGCGACTGCCGCTGCTAACTGGCCACTAATGCAACGCCACTTTGGGCACAGTGCTGAGAACTGAGAACATGAACAAAATGAAAATGTCCTGGGAAAAGCAACAAGCTGAACACATTGTTGGAGCCCTGCACTGCACCTTCCAAATGGAGAGAGTGAAACATGGCATCAATGGTCTTGCCGCTTCGAAACAGCTGCCCCGGTTCGAAGGGCATTCTTTCGCACGACTTGGTCGCGTGGTATTCCTGGCTCGCCTTCGTGAAAAGATGTGACGTGATGCCACCGAGTCAGAATCAAACAGATTCGGTGACTGGATCAAACACATCTAGATGGTGCCTCAACGGGGGCCTTACAATGGTTTGCACAATCTTTACATCGCTCAAGAAAAGCAAACCAGGTGCCAACTATGGCTGCCATGGCCAAAAGAACCTTGGGAACTGGCCGGTAATGATTGGAGACTGGTCGCTTGTGGACTGACAAATCTGGATGAGACCTGCCTCTCTACTTCCAAAACGAAACCAATAAGCACCAACAAAAGTAGAACAACAACATGCATATTGTGCTATTTTCGAAATCATGCTGCTGGTTGTCTAGTGGTCAACACTTGGAAGCAGGCTTCGCCTGAGCGAAGGGGACTGGCTGTGCAAGCTTTGTGCAAGCTTTCTCTTGCACCGGGCACCATTGAGAAAGCTATTTCCATCCTATTTCCTATTTCAGTGCATTGACTGTGGAAAATGCAGAAGGATTGCCGAAGGCCAAACGCTGGCTACATCGTGGATAGCCCCCAGGGCTCCGCGGAGCGCCCAAGCGCCCTCTCCCTTGGTGTCACTGCGACCATCCAAGGTAGGGCACACATCCTGTCAGCGAAAAGAAAAGACGCACTACTCTGGGATGGCGTTTACATCAGGCCGATGTCAGTGACGTCCACTACTAGGAGCAAGGACGCTAATAGGGGCTCCTACTACTCTTGGATATTGAGAAACCAACGGTGGATGTCGCACCTCTTGGAGGATCAGTACCTGCATACCTCGATGTCCAGCTTTTCTCCCTGAACCTCAGGCCCGTCGAAGCATCAATTGAACGTGGACAAAGGACATGAATCAAGTTGGCCTCAGGACCATTTACTATAGATGTTCAATCAACAAAAATCAATGCAAGAGGTGAAACACCGAGTGGAACGTCATGATGAGCTTGCAATGGGCATGTATGAGTTCTTGCCCTAAGCTGATGAACTTGTCCTAAGCGTGTGACGGCAGCCATCTTCATCTTGGCCATCAGCTCAGCTGGATCTTAGACCAAGGATGGGGTGAAGACAAGACAAGATCTTCGGTCCGAGAAAAAAACATCAACACATATGCTTAAGCCTGATTAAAGGGGCTTAAACATTGTCCTTTTTCTCTTTGAGATTTCTCGGTCTCTGCGCATGGCAATGCACATCGGTTAAGCATGCGGCTGCCTTGACAGCCATTCACTGTAATGACCCTGTCTCGCCGCTTGATTCCCATACCTGACACAAAGCACAAAGGTATAATTGGACTGTTTATAGCCATGTAATGCAATGTAATGCTATGTAGCTCATCTTGTTCCTGAGGGCCTTGCCTCGATGGGACAAGTTCCAGTCCTTGATGAGACCAGGATTGACCTTGATGCAGGACATGGCACGGTAAATGTCACGCGTGATAAAATGCAAAAAGCTGGTCTCAGAAGTGCAACAAGCATCAGGCTGTCTTCACCAGAAGGCTTGTTCCTTAGCTGGGTGGCTTGAAGTGGCGGAATTGAAAGCAACCAAAGGCTTGGCACCGAGAACCAACCTACTAGCAATGGCCTCCAACCTAAAAATGATACAAGCACAGTCAACTACTGTCCATGTTTCAACACGTGCAACTCATTGACGCGGGCTTGCTATCAGGCTTTGCATTCCACCTGAGCCTCTGAGAACTAGGCCGTTTGGAGCATGCTCAACTTGCAAACCCAGCCTCAGGCTTTGATACGCGCAATTGACTTAATTACAGCATTGGAGTGTTCAATACTGTTCAATGTCCTAGAGTGAAACAGACTCACCATCCCCCTCTGAGGCAGGTGACGGAGCGTAAGCTCTGGCAATGCTGATGCTGAAGGTCTCAGAGTCCGGCCACTGACCATACCAGCAATTTAACGTTCAGGAACTGGCCCGGGTTCAAAGACTGGATCTAGCAGCGATGCCCTTGTAATGCCCTTGTTACTAGTAGCGGTGCCCCTATTACTAGTAGGTCTTGCAAACACACGTTCTACAAAGGATTTGGCTCTTTGATTAGTAGACACAACTCTTTGAGTTTCAATGACCATGCTCAATTCATAGGCTTCACTAAGGTGATCGCAATAGGCCGCTTGAGTGTAACAGTCAGTTCCTCAGCCATGAAGGCACAGTTAGTATCTGTCTGTTCTTCCCAGAAACTCAGATTTCGCCAAGTCTCGGTGTCGACCTTGAGGTGCTCTAACAAAGCCTGACACAGTGCTCAGGAGCAAAGGACGCTACTAAGGGCCCCTGGCCTTACTACTAGGAGCAAGGACGCGACTATTTCTTCATACCCTTTTTCCACTTGAAGCTATTCAAAACATTTCACAACTGCCACTTAAGCGCTACAACCGTCGACAAACTTGCTTAACTGAGCCTGTGAGCTTCCCCTGGCACCATTGACTTCCACGATGCTATCCCCATTCCTCAGGATGCACTGGGTTTGGCTCCGAAGTGCACCAGTGATTCCAATGATTCAAAGCAGCCAAGGTCACGGGTCGCACTTTTCTTGCAAGGCTTGCAACGCTCTGTGAGACAAGCGGTCTTCTTCGTCGTCGAATCTGCTGTCCTCACACTCTTGGAGGCCTCCAGGCCGTAGGTGTAACACGACCACATCGAGCAGCAGAGTTCACGAACTGAACCGGATTCTCTTTTTGCTTTTGGTTCATCCGACTTTTCTGCATCCTTGGAGTCATCTCATTAGGGTGCTATCTGATATCGGTACCAATCGCGAAGCTGTTCGGGGCTGGCCCCCAAGTACCATGCGATGATGATGCAGCTGTTCCTGAGAAAACTCGAGAGCTCGTGACTAGACTAGCCGGGAAGCAGCAGCCCCATTGTTTTATGTATCATCACCGGCATGTTGCCCAAGGGTGGCTTATCAAAGAGCGGATTCTTGTTTACAAGCATGCAGCATGCTGAATTTCCTCCAATTTGCGGGATAAACACACCACCTCAATAGTCCGGACCAGGTGCAAACAGTACAAACATGCACTGATCCTCATAGCTTGACCAAGTCTCAAGAGTTGTTGCCTCAAAGGCCCCTTTTCCAACATCCGTCGTGCAGAGGTCGTCACCGCCAAAGGCAAAAACTCAAATGATTGGGATCCGAGTCGTGCAAGTCGCATGACCTCGATGAAGGTCTCAAAAAAACAAGAAGAAACCACAGAAGTGCTTCCAGAATGCTCGGAACATTCAAATCAACTGAGTTTGACAGAACAACTCAGACGAGGACGAAATCTACATCCTCCAGAATAGGCCATTCACTGGCAGGGTTGGTCGCTTCAGTGCCACTATGTGCCGCTATATAGTCACTAATATTGTATTTTTGTGTTTATTTTTTTATTAGCAAGGCACTTGTTTCTACTAGCGTTCTTGTTCTATATCACCACGGGTCAGTGTGCAAAAAAGGGGTGGAGAAAACACACGGTTGATAATCTTGAGAAATACAAGCTGTTTGATGGACACGTTCCTCTCCTGTAGCCACCCAATTCTTCGAAGCTACTGCGCCGAACGAAAATCCCTCGATCACCAAAAACCAGGCGCTTTGTCCTGCAACATTGCACTCGTGTGCACCAGCCTTGGCTGTACATCACAAAGGCCAATGGTGCATGACTGACCCTTTTGGTTTTTGTTCCTGGTCTTCTTTGCGCAGCACCAAGAACAAAGGGAGGATAAACAACCCGGGAGGAAGAGCAAAACACGCTCAAGGTACATCAACCTGTGCCAGAAGTTGCTGCAAAAGGACGCACATGACAGGTCAAAGGAGAAGAATAACAATCAAACACGCACCGGAATAGAATCAAACGTATACATTGGGTCTATGAGTCTATCCCATTACCTGTAACAGTTGATGATGATGGTTAGTGAAGGTCTTGTTCAAAACGAGTGATAATTGTTTACTGTCAGCTACAGGTCAGGTAATTAATAATTACTGTAATAGAATTGGCGCAAAGTATACAGTATACATAGCACAGTTCAAAAAGGCAGGGAAGCACAAAGAGTAGTTGAGGACATGGACAATAGCTGGTAGCCATAAAAAAATCGAAAGTAAAAGAGCCAGGAGAAGAAGCATTGCAACAAAAAACAAATCTGTTCTTGCAAAAGGAATTTGGTCCACATATAGGTGTGAATGTGTTGGCACACACCAACATCCCCGATACAAACCAATCAAAACGTAAGCCACCCTTGTTCGCCATACCTTACCTTTGGTTTTTCTCTTTGGTTCGGAAGCGCAAGCATTGCATCCTATCAAGTTCAGAGAAGGGCGGCGAGAATGCCGGGGTGGCCCTGCCAGGCGGAAAACAATGCAAGCTCAAAAGGACAAAAGCGACAAAAACACAAAGAACACCTATTTGTTTTCCAGAAGCACCTTGCGGATAGATTAGAGAAATATATACAGCAACAACATACCGTGCCAGAACAGCAGCTCCAAAGCTGAAGGGTCCAACTCTCCTCTTCTTCATGGAAGCGCAGCTCGAAGCATCCCCCCAAGACCCTTGGATTGCAAAGTGCCACTTGTATGGCTGCTACAGCTCCCTCGGGCAGGCCGGTGTCAGCGTGCAGGAAGAGCAGCACGTCAGCCTTCCGAGTGCACAGTAGTAAGGCCAGGAGCCCCTAGTAGCGTCCTTGCGTAAATTCTTAGATTGTATTTTGCTGGCATTTAATTGGCCAATGGAAAGTGGTTCCCTTCGGTGGCACTTTCCCCATTCTCAGTGCCTTTGTGTTCCGTGCACCTGCATTCATCTGCACAGCGCGTCCACGGGGCGATGTCAAGACTTGAGCGCCACACTCAGAAGCCACTTCGGAGGTTCGATCCTAACCCGTCAAAAAAGCGCAACACCTAATAGCAATGGCCTCCAACCCCTATTCCAGGCTGTTCTATCTTTCTGATCCATCTCCCAATTTCTGTGCCTGCTCCCTTGCTGAATCCAAGCGTCTGTCGAACCAGGGTCCACAACCACAATCTCTTGCGGGGAGGGTTTCTGGGCCAACACGCTCTGCAAGGTTGTGGGCAAGCTCTTCTCCTGGGCAGGAACACTCATTGATCACAGAAGTTGCATGTGAGCTCATAATGACGGGTACCAAACAAAAGAAGTCCGTGTTTCTGAAAGCGCCCTGGCATAGAAGTATAAAGGATATGTATGTTCTAAGGTGACCTTGCTAGCAGGGGCGCGGTAGTTTGTTGGTTTGTGCTGTGCACATGTCGCTCAACTAGGCATGTGGCACCTCATTCATCGCGGGAATAATTACGGCCACAGTGGGAGGCACCACGGAAGCCGCCATCAGGTGGTACTTGCTTTAGCTGTCTTACTCGAGCGAATTGGCTGCAAAAAGCAAACATGCAGCAGCTTACTGCAAGAGAAACTGCCTAAGGTCCCTTGTGACCCTAAGACGAGAGCTGAAGCATCATATCATCGTCTTCTTGCTTCTCATTGTGTTGACCTTGGAGAACCGAATTATTTGGGTGGAGGCCAACGCTATTAGTAACAAGTGGCATCGCTACTAGTAGCAAGGACTCTACTGGTAGCTCTTGGCATTAGTACTAGTAACAAGAAGCTACTAGGAGCAAGGGCATGGCTACTACTAGTAACTAGTAGCTAGTAGCATTCTTACTACTAGTAACAATCAGCTTCTAGGTTGGAGGCCATCGCTCTTCGGGTTGGAGCGATTTTAAATATCTCGGTCTGTTCGGTCTGTCCGGTGTCCCGAGCTCCCGCACGCACAGGTCCATTCTGGGCAAACAAAGGCAATGAGCTTGGCATACAAAAAACTTACACTCCCTGTACATAATAATGGAAGTGGAACATGGTCCCTTGAATGACAATTTTCTCCACAAAACATGGCTTTCCTTCCATGATTATTTCAAGGAGTGTACTACCCCATGCCCATGCATCCTCCGAACTACCAGGTGCTAGAAACAACACTTTTGTGAGCAAAAACCCTTTGGAATGGTTTGCGTCACGATGCGTCACATCTTGAACTTTACTATTCCCGATCATCACCAAAATGATGGAAGAAGGCGGGCAATCTTTCTATTTTTCCAAGAATGCATTTTGAAGCGATGTTTGTTGATCAAGGGAACAATTGCTTGTGGGCCTTAACTGCGCTGATGATCAACGACTGCCCGTCTAACGCATCCAAGTTCAAGCCCAGCGAGGAGCCAGGAGCCTATGGCAGGAGCAAGGTGAACTTCTCAAGCTCCGACTGAGAGGGGTGGAATCATGAGAAGCTGAGGTCTCCACCCTCTCAAACTGCACTGTGAACTCTGGGTTTGTCCTGAAAGGTGCACTTGCACAATTGAAACCGATTGAAATGCATGATGCCCTGCATGATGCTGCGGCAGCACAGCGTCTCCAAACGCAAAGTTGCCAAGAGCCACACCCAGCAGTGGTCGTTGCTAGTGATCTGGCTGTCAGAAAGCCCGATGAATTGGCTGCCTGTGTCGTGAACATATCATCTGCAACTTCATGGATCAACACTTAGCATCACTCAGCAGCTTTGTAGCGAAAGCATCTGAAAATTCAATGTATGTGCGCGCCTGCTCGCTGCCCTCCTGAAGATCAGGGAACATTTTATGAAGTTGCGAACTTGGCGACACTGAACAGTTGGAACATTTTCTGCTCACCCTGCAAAGCTGCCGGTCGTCCTTGTAATTGATACTGGCTGACGAGAAGGAGACTCCGTTCCTTTGGCAAGTGCCGTTGGAAATCAGGTTTCTTCGGCCAGAAGGGGAGCAAGTGCCGCTGAGCCACTTGGAAGGACTCCCGTCGTGAAATTCCTCCAGCAAAGTCCTACCCAGGGCGGCCTGCAAGAAGAGCTTGCAGTAATAACTCAACCGAGTGAGGTGTTGCTGATGGAAAGTGTGGTTGCTGATGGCATGGGAATGTAGCATCTGAAAGGACAAGTTGGATATGGCTTCTGGCTTGCAAAGTGGAAGGGTCGGCACTGGCAGAAGCAATTTTTTTTCCTCTGCCCGGAGGCCCAACCAAAACCTCAGTGTAAAGGCAAGTCACGGTACGGTATGTCCTAACAGGTAGCCTAACAGGCTTCTGCAGCAACACGCCAACTTGATCTGGATCTTTGCTGGCTGAATTCAAGCAAGTGGCGCATTGGTTCCCTCCTCTATGGCATCAGGTGACTTTGCACACAGTGCCTTCGCTGTTTCCAGGGTCATGCCTTGCAAGTCTCTGCAGCCGACGCTTGGCTTTTCAGATTTTTTGACTGGGCAAACAAATCTGAGGCCTGGTTGTGGTGCTGGTGGCCAAGGAGCGTCCAAGAAAACATCCTTGGCTCAAACGGCGCGAAGGCTAGTAGCTCCTGGCCTTACTACTAGGAGCAAGAAGCCACTAGTAACAAAGGGCATCGCTACTAGAAGCAAGGATGCTACTAGTAGCTCCTGGCATTACTACTAGGAGCAATGTCGTTGCACAAATGCATACGGACTCCAGGCGCCGCTGCTGAATTCTACCAAAGGATCGAGAGATTCCCGGCGCACAAGCAGTTCCTTGCCACAAGCCCGTCGGACCAGCCACCGGCCCTTCTCAGAATTGTCTTCTATGATCAGAACCTGGACAAATCACACACGGAAGTCAAACTGAAAGCTTCACTAACAATCCAGCCTCTTCCCCATTCATCTCAGGCTTCGATACTAGCCTTCGAGAAACCAAAGGCAACTCTACGTAACTAACAAGTTCAATCGCTTCGGTATAAACTTACCAAGGCGAAAAACATCATGTCTGTTCTGTACCTTCTTGGCCTTCTCTTGCCCAGTGACCCCTGCAAGCGTGCCCACTGCCCTGGATTTGGCTCGCCGCCGCCAACAACAGCAGCACTCTGGTGGCTGAGTGTAGAAGAAAATGGGTTGCGCCCCAAAAAGTTCAGGCACAAGGTGCCTGGCGCAAAACACATTTGAGTCAAACCGTTCTGATAATTGCCAGTGAAGTCCAATACCTCATGACTCATGCCTATTAAGAGCGTTCTTGTACAAGCCTCCGTTTGCAACAAAAAAAACACTACTCCAGGATGGTGACATGACTTTCACTGCGAAGCCAGGTTCTTGGCTGACACTGTGCCATGTTCTGCTTATGAAACCTTATGGCATCATGGTGAGCTTCCCAAACCCATTGGAGTCGGCCTGGCCATGCATCTTTCAGCCTTATGGTTCGTCTGCTTGGAAGACTGCAACATCGCATATGTAGCCTATGTACCAAACAATTCAATCTCAAGTAGGCGCATCAATGTTTCCAAGGAGCATGGTCCAAAGACGCAGCAACGGCTGAAGTTGCTTCGCCGTCACCAGCACTGGATGTTGCTGCGCAAGCTCCAGCTCCAGCAACGACAAGAGTTGCGTCAGCTGGGCATCGTGGGCATCCAAACCCGCTACCAAGACCAAAGGAGCCCCACCTCCTAGGCAAACATGGAAACCACATAGCAGGCATGGACATTGGCATGGACAGGCATGCGGTCGTGTCTAGATCAAGCATAGTCAATGTAGAAGTTTTTGAAGGCTCGAAGGAGTTCCAAGTATGCGAGTCCTGCGCTTCCATTTGGCTCCAGTTCGACCGAAATGTCGAAGAACCCACACTGCGGTAGCTGTTGCCTCTCGTTGGCATGCAGAGTTGCTTGCGCATCCGCTGTTTCCCCACTACTAAAGTCATAGCCTCCTTAAACTTGGGACAACAAGTCTGTACATGTCTGACAGGTCCCACCTTAATTCTGTTGCGCGCCAAGAAGGCACAGAATCAGACATCGTCCGGCCGTGGAAAGTGATGTGTGATCCGGGTGAGGCGCACATCCTTGCAATGCACAATCAAAGAGTCAAAGGCACATGGCAACTGCGCAAAGAGCCCAAAAAAGTACTGCGTCGAGTGACAAATCTCGAAACCAAGCTGATGGACACCACAAAAGATCCTTCATTGGAGCCCAAAGAATTCGCAAAGCCAAAGGTGGAAGTTGTTGAGGCGGTCCTGGCAAGGCCTTACTACTAATAACAAGGTCATCGCTACTAGGAACAAAGGGCATCGCTACTAGTAACAAGAAGCTACTAATTGCATGTGTGTGTGCTTCTTCTTTTTTGCCTTGTTATTTGTTCCTGTTTGAGGGGGGTAGGCGCTGAAGACCAGAGGTTGGGGTACGGGAAGCAAGGTAAGGAAGGGGAAGTAACGGAGAAGAAGGTGAGCTACATTGAGCTACTATCTAGTCTGGTAGCTTCAAGCTCCTACTGGATGCTGGAACGCAAAAAAGGCTAAGGCATCTTCAACGAAACTCCTCTGTCTGCCTGACATTGATTTCATTTCTAGACTGTTCTTAGTGCTGTTCTGAAAAGGACACTTACAGTATATATAACCGTTCGACCTGCACGAGGCTCCTTCCGGTGGCATTGTGGCCAGAACTGTAGGTGAAGGCTGTGCCAAATCAAACAGGAATGCAGCGCGCAGCACAGTCCAGCTCCACGTCAAGCCTGGCTGCACAAGCACAACTTTCCTGTCTCCTTCTCGCTTTCGCTTGACTTCGCCTCTTGTCTGGCATCGGTGGAACAAACCAAGAATCAAATAGGGGAGGGTAAGCTGCTAAGAGGTAGTAACTAGGTAGCTACTAGAAGCTAGGTAGCTGGTATAAGCTAGTACCTACAAGTAAGCTACTACATATGGACGCAGGATAGCTCATGCTTTTTCAAGGCTCGCACTTTCATCTTCTCACTATCTTCTTACTCCTTGTTTTGGGCGTGTGCAGGTGATGTCTATGGGCCTTACATGCCCCGTGCTGTGGGTCCTTTTCTTTCATTCCGTCTAACACTTCACGTATTGGAGGTGACCAGCCCCATGCTTTCTATTGCGCTGTTGACAGGCCCGGGTTTACTAAAGAAATGAAATGACGGACCGGGTTTTTTAGATTCTTAGGGTCCTTCCCACACCGTCTGACAATTTCCTTCCCATTCATTTCCCCACCTTCAGTGGCAATGTCAAAGAAACGCCGTTCCTTGTACATCTTGTGCTGAGCCTCCTTCAGTGGCATAGTGTTATGAGCAAATGTAGTTCACTTCCTGCTGATGCTTACAGGATCCAGCAATCTATCACCACAAAGCAATCTGCTATTGAAAGTCTTTGTCAGTTCGTTTCTATGACAAGGTGCTGTGCGGAGCTCAAAGCCACCTCCCGCGCCCGCACGCTGAGTGAAAAGCCTTCGCCAGCCATTGACCACATAGGCCCAAATGGGCTCCACTGGAGGCCAAACCAAGGCAGTAGCAGCTGCGATGTGACGAAGCCTGGACAAATCAGAACAATATAGGCAAGCTACTAGGGGCTCCTGGCATTGCTACTAGGAGCA